GGGGGGGGGGGTCCGGGGCGTCCCCGCGGGTGGCCGGGCTCGGCGCCGCGTGCCCCCCGCCGCACCCACCTGCGTCCGGCCGCGGCATCGCCGGCTCGCTCACGTCCCGGCTCCCGGGGCCCTCCCCTCGCTCGGGGACAGTCACCGGCCGCCCGAGCCCGGCCCGGGCGGGGACGCGCCAGCAGGAGGAGCCGAGCGTCTGGCTGGTGTCACGACCCGACTGTTGCGTGCGACCGGCCACGGAGCCGGAGCCGGAGCCGGGACGGCGTGGGGCGGGACCGGGCGGGACCGGCCTCCCCCGTCGGCCCCCACCACCGACAGGACTCAATCAACCCGGGGCGGAGGCGGGAGGGCCGGCTGGGTCCCGAGTCCTGGGCGGAGTCCCTGCCGCTTGGAGGGAAAGTCCTGGACAACCGCTTGGCGCCTTTAAGAGGGTGGGAGTTGGGCCGCGGGGTCACCCGCCAGGCCAGGCTGCCGGCCCGCGCCCTGGTGTCAGAGGGGAAGGCCGGCCGCCCTCTGCCCTCGAAGACGCTGGGGAAAAGGCATCTCGGGGGATCCTCTTAGTTCCCCTTGTACAATGCTGATGCCACTGCTGAAAGGCGGTCCCCTGAAATTCGAGCCCTAGCTTTATCAACGGGCAAAACAGGCCCGTGTCAGTGATGCCATGACAATGACAGAGGAAACGGTGCACACGGAGGGATTCCTGGGCGCAGAGCAATGTACTTACTGCTGTAACGGTGGTTCAAGCGAGTGACACATCGTGACTGTCATCCCATATTCGAGGAGGAGACCTGGAGACCTCCCTCCGACGTTCAGATGAGTGATGACGTCACACGGCGACGCATCACAAGTCAAGGCACCACTCAAGGAGAATTATCCCCCAGGAAACACTCTTCCATAGGAGGTGCTTTCAGGCCTAACCGGGGACGGGACCAGGTTGTGCGGCTATGGCCCAGGTCAGCCGAAAGCATTCAAGTGTGGGTGACTCCAAGTGCGCTGTGCCAGTGGCCGCCCCCCCCCCCCCCCCCCCCACCCCAGCAGCACCTCCCGGCCGTGAGGGCACTGGCCGCGTCCCTGTCCCTCCTGCCCCCGTGTCAGGGCACCAGGCAAGAGCGGAACTCGGTCGGTGGCCAGAGCCGTTCTCCCCACAGCTGGGGGTGGAGAAGGGGGCTGAGGCCCCATAATCTCCACCTGCAACCGAAAACCACATCTACATACGTGTTCTCCACAAAATGTGCAAACGCGGCTTCAAGACAGGCTTCGTTCTCTCAAACGTTCTCCCCATCCTGCCGGGGCCTCAAGGTTAGCCTCCCGCTGCCCGCTGCTCAGAGGCCGGGATGTTTGAGGCAGGTTGGGTCATAAATCTCTGCCGCAGGCACTGAATGTGCCTGTTTTATTCCAAGTTTCTGTATTTCTAGGTGGATGCGGGACCGGGTAGGTTAGTGGTGCAGCGGGTGGACAGCGTCCCGCCGGGAGAGCCCGGGTTGGAGGGCAGGCGGACACAGTGAAGACAGGAGAGGACGGGGGCACAGGAGGACTCGAAGGGGAAGGTGACACACAGGAAAAGCAGCAAACTGGATCCTCCCGAGACTGGAGTATGGGTCCCAGATGCCCAGTGGCTGCAGTGGCATCCGTGACGGGGTCCTAATTCCTAAGTCCCGCAGGACAGTCGCAGGTGAGCAGGCGGAGCTGGCGATCCCATAATCGCCTGCCTGTGTGGCTTCTGTCACCATCTCCTTTCTGCTAGGAACTGGGGGCGGAGTGGGATGGAGGAGAGGAGACAATCCCAGCAACAGAATTCCAGACACACCACATCTGAGCCAGCACCTTGAGGAAGGGAAGGAAAGTCCTGGGCAAGGGTGAGGGGCTATTAGCCACGCCCACATCCACAGTAGCAGAGATTGGGCATCTTCCTCCAAGAAGAGACAGTGAGATTCATCAGACCGCTGCACACGTCGGACGAGACTGTCCCTGGGATTCTCCAGAACCCCCACATCCTGTCCCAGCCCAGAAGCATGGGGACTTGGGAAGCTGGAAGTCTCTGCCTGACCTCCGAGGAGAAAGTGAGTGCCGGGCGCCTGCCATCGCGTCACCTGCCCAGGTCAGAAGGGCGCTCCTCTCCTGTCTTTCCTCAAAGCCCCGGTAAGCACCCCTGCCGGGGGCGACAACTTCCGGTACCTGGTGGTGGGCTACTGGCCCCGGAGCGGCAGAGGAGTGAGTGTCCCCCACAGGACTCTGCTCTTCAGACTCCGCTCAAGCATCCAGATGACAGCATCCCTGCTCCCTGCCAGCCACCTCTTCTACTCGAACCCTTCGGCCCCCGGGAAACTGGAGGCTGGAAAGAGTGGCCTGGCCTGGCGGGGACCGTGGGAGAGCAGCGCGCATCACCTGCACTGTCGCGGCCCGCTGGCTGTTACAGAATCCGTTACAGTCTGTGTGGTTGAATCGAACCGCTGGTGACAGTTACCAGGAAGGAAAACCACACTAGGACAGCCAGCCAAACTTCCCTCCAGAATTGGGGACGCGACAGAAAAGCAACTACAGTCAAGAAGTAACAGCCAGCGGTAACTTGGTCATTTGCGTGGGATTTTGCGTGCTGGGCCCAGAACCCAACAGTGGGGCTGTAGCTACGTGTGAAACAGGAAAACAGGAGGACCAGAATCCCGGGATCGGGTTATCAGTTTCACACTGTATTCCTGGGGTCTCCGGACTCTAAAACCCATGAGTATGTTTCATCTGGAGGTCACAAAAGTTACCTCAACTATAAGCTGGTTGATTTGGAAGGTCAGTTATGCAAAAGCCCATATACGTACTCAGAACTGTCCGTATTTTTTGCCTGTGCTGTCTCACTTTCCAATTACGTCGATGCTCCTTTTTGTTTTTTGTTTTAATTTTTTTTCAACGTTTTTTATTTATTTTTGGGACAGAGAGAGACAGAGCATGAACGGGGGAGGGGCAGAGAGAGAGGGAGACACAGAATCGGAAACAGGCTCCAGGCTCTGAGCTGTCAGCACAGAGCCCGACACGGGGCTCGAACTCACGGACCGCGAGATCGTGACCTGGCTGAAGTTGGACGCTTAACCGACTGTGCCACCCAGGCGCCCCTCGATGCTCCTTTTTGAAACATTACACTTGGCACACTGTCACATCAGCGTCAGGTGCACAGCACAGCGATTCGACCCGTCTGTGGGGGATGCTGTGCTCACGAGCGTCGCTATCACCTGTCACCAGACGATGCCGTGACATTTGTTTGATTTTCAGATTCTGAACAAACGCGAACACGGTGTGGTCCACCATTTGAGAATTCATGGTCATTTTTTCTCCCACTGTTGTATCAGAGTTAAGTGTAGGAACGCGGACTTTTTGTTATGACAACCCTTGAAACTGTTTCCAGGACAAACAAAGACGTAAGCAGAAAATATTTAAATCACCAAAATAAAGAAGCAAGACGATATCCAGGCCCCACTAAAATCAGCACAAGTGCTGTGCAGGTTTGAAGGGAAGGGAAAACCGTGCAGCCTGCGGGATGCTGAGCCTGCTCTGTGGGAGGCTGGGGTCCCACAGGGATCCCCCCAAATCCTGAGTACAGACACACTGCGCTCACCAGCTCATCCCCAAGGAGGCCACTTATTGAGGCAGCACCGGCGATCACACCATGGTGCCCGGAAACCAGTCGCTATTTTAAGAAAGTTCCTTTTTCTCACGAGCTCCTCAGTGTCTCGGCTTTACCTCGGTATGACGACTTCAGTGCATGTTCAGAAAAATGTCCAAAGGCAAAGAGATCGATGCCCTGCTTTTCCAAATCACACCGTCTTCCCACATGCTGTGCTTTGTTCCCGTGTTTTGACTCAAATGACTTCACGCGAGGGGGCGGTAAATCATCCAACAGCCAGAACCAACATGGAGTCTGAATTTTAAACCGCAAGAGGTCTCTTTCTGGCTGTTACAATCCTTGTGGACCCCTGAGACACAGACGACTTGGTCGATAACCAGAAATACGTCCATTCCTTCTTCTCACAGTGGTCTGTTACCGTGAGAGGGTCTGGGGGTAGAAAACGTTCAGGAACCTGTTCAGACACTGTTTGCTTTAGAGTCCTTCTCCCCAACGCTAACATAATGATCCACTTTATCTGGATTTTGCTCCACTCAAACCTCACGAGCTTTAGGAGAGAAGAACCAGAAGGACCTGTGTTTTACGGACGACCGACCAAGATTTCCCCAGGAGCTTCACGACCAGCCACAAGGAGACCTGCCGGGTCAGGGAGGCCCTAGAGCCCTCTCCCCTCGCTGCTGTGGGGCCTCAACGCCTCCCTGACACTCCGAGGACCCGCTTCTATTTTTACGGCCTCTCTGGATGTTAACCTCAGTAGAAATTCCAAGTGACTTAAAAAACGTGTATTAACACATCTAAAAATGACGACAAACCCGTGACATTAACAATACACCCATTACGCTGGGGCGTCCGGCTGGCTCAGTCAGAGGAACACATGGCTCTCGATCTCGCGGTTGTGAGTTCAAGCCCCACATCGGGTGTAGACATGAGTAAAAAGATAAACTGAAAAACGAACAATACACCCATCACGTTAACATGTTTTTAATGAAAAATAACGGTATTTGCTAAAACCAACAAATCAGAGATGAGGGGTGGGCTCCGTCCTGCCGGGTTCTCGTGTGATCACGCGTCCACAGCCCCGTGACTCCGCCGTGCGTTCATGGTAGCACGAGTGGACGCACAGGGTCTTGGGATTAGCGCCAAAGCGGGCCCCGGCAGGGTGTCCGGAACCCCACTTTGAGAATCGCCACACTGCCTGCCGTGTTGCACCAGGAACCCGCCGCTCGGGATGGCGAGCCACAATGGTGGCTAGGAGGTGAGCTGCTTTGAAAGCGAGACTTCACACGTGGCTCTTTCTTGCAACAGCCTGGAAAAGCCCGAAGCAAATCAGAACAGGACGGTATGGGGAGAAAAGACACAGGCTTCCCTTAAAACGATAGGCCTGAAGCTTACACCTTTTCCTTGCCGCGCTCGGCCTTGCAGAGATGCGCAGTGGCATTTCGGAGGACCGTGGACACCCCGAAGGCTGGTTCACACACCGGGAGGTGACGGAATAGTTGGAGACTCACGGAACCGTTTGCTTTGCCTTGCCCTCTGGGGACAGCCCTTTGCCAAGGTCCCCGAAGGATCCCGGTGGTCACCGTTGCACGCAGGTTACCCAACCCCCCAGCCCTGTCACTGCGGCCGTGACGTGAGCAGCACGCACAGCCCCGCGCTGCAGCAGGGCGGGGCGAGCTCACGCGGACTCGTGCTCCGGGAGCCGTCAGGTGGGGCCCGGTGACGTGCAAGGTCGCGCAGAGAAGTGTGTTAAGAGCGGCCTTCCCTCAGTGTGCATCTCGGGCCGGCTCTGCCCCCACGCGTCCTATCAAGCAAATAAACGATCTTCTATCAAGCAAATAAAGTATCTTCAGACGGCAGTGGGGTGGGGGGGTCCCAGAGGGGAGGACCTGGCCTGGGCGCGCACGGCCACGCGGACGTGGGGCCCCCCCCCCCCCCCCCGCCCCGAGCTCTCTGCGGTGACCGAGCGGCCGACAATCCCAGCCAGGGTGACCCACGCCGGCTCATGCCCCTCCTCGGTTCAGCCAGAAGGCCCTTCTCTGCTTACGCCCGTCGATTTTAATGTTTGGGGACCCCCTATGCGGGGCCAACAGCCACTGCACCTGCCAGGCCGATCTGCTCTCAGGGAGGCGGAGGCGCTGGCCCCACACATGCCCACCGGTCCCCCCCCCCACCCCCCCAGCACTGGCGGAGCCGGGGGGACGTAAGCCCTGAGAACAGGAGGGGCAGCGGGGGGCACCGGGGTGACCCTCCCAAGGACAGGGCCCCGCCCACACACCCTGACCTGCACTCTCTGGGGTCATAAGGAGACTCCCCCGTGCCATTCCCCCCCCCCCCCCCCAGCCAGGGCCCCGCCCCGTCCACTCACCCTGAGGGCTGTGGCACCCCGGTGTCCCCCCTCCCCCTGCAGGGCCCGGCTGTCATCCGCGGGGCGGCGGGTCCTGTCCAGCGAGCGAGGAAGTTAACAAGATGCACCTCACCTCGCCCGGTCCTTCTCCACCACCCCGCCCCCCACCCGCACGTGCCCGGGGGACGCCCGCCACCTCCGCCGCCTGGGCCGGGACGGAGGGCCACCCGGGAAGCCCGGCAGCTCCAGGAGAGGCAGCGCCCGCGCCATCTCGGTGGGCGGACCGACCGGGCTCCTGCTCCGTCCGGAGGCTGAGCCCGCACCTCCACAGCAGGTACATCCGCCCGAAGTTCTGTGTTCGGTCCTGGGACCCTGTGCACGGACACGGCAACGGGGCCACGTCACCGTACCGCCCCCCTCCGGCTCAAGGCCGATCCTTCTGGTGACGCAGACGGACTCTCTGTGGCTACCGTCATCTACCGACACCGAGAATAACCCACCTCTCTGAGCTCCACGCCTCCAGGTCACACCCCGGCCCCTCGGCGGGCCTCCTGCACAGCCCGCTTCCCGTGTGGTACACACCACGCCCCCCTCCCCGCCCTCCCTGCTCTGCACGCACCTCTGCCCGCGGCGCAGCGAGCTGTCCTCTCCGCCCTCCCACGGTGTCCTGTGACTCTCTGTAACCACAACCGCCAAGGGACTGGGACCTCTTGGGGGGCCGGGGGAGGTGTCAGGCGGTCGCCCGTCACCGCCGCCTGGTGCCGTGTTCCCACCCTGACCTGCGGTATCCTTTAGGGCATGGGGTCTGGCCCTGGCCTCGCTCCCCACCGCCAGCCTTCCCCAGTCGAGCTCCGATCCACCCTGTTCCCCCCCCCCCCCCCCCGCAAAGGCCGGGGCATGTTTTCTGGGTTAACCACTAAAGAGCTAACTCTCCCACCACCTGCTCTGAGCCCACATCGTTATCAAGGATCGTCACACCAAGGCCAAGGGCCATGCTGGCCCTTCCCCTGCGCTGCTGGCTATGGATCTGACCACGGATCCACACGTGGGGTGGGGGTGGGGGTGGGGGTGGGGGGGTACAACCTCAGAACAGGAGTGGGGGGCTGGGCTTCACCCCCCCACACCCCCAACCATTCTTCCAGCGCAGGGGTGAAAGCAGCTTCCTCCTGGGGCTGCCTCACCTACCCTCACCTACGCGACTTGCCCCGTGGACACTCCTCACACCTCTGGAACCGTCCCCCGCGCCCCACCCTCCTCCTCAACTTTCTGGTGTGTTTTTCGGTCTGGATGGCACCCTCTTCCCTGCCGTCATCATCACAGTCCTGTGATCTTGTGCAAATGTTCACAGCATTGTTAGGACAGAGACTGTCTCTCATTCATTTTTCTACAGAAACACTGTGTCGTGACAGAGCCCCATCAGTGTGCCCCCACCTAAAACGCTGTAAATTTGATCCAGAAAATATTCTTTGTCCAAGTGTGGATTTATTTCAAAATTGTCAAGATTTATATATTATTTTACTACATATGACAAGCAACTCTTAGCTTAAAGTAAAAACTTTCACATTTAAGGTGGTTTTTAAAAAAAAGATACTTTAAAAACAGACATTTTTAAAAGAGCTTGCGGCACAGTCTTAAATATTCACATCTTAGATGCTGCTTAGAAAAGGTTAAAAAACCAGGGAAAAAATCATTTACAATCGGCAGAGATTAAAAGCTCCTAGTCTGCGGGGAGAGCACGTTAACGACACATCATGAATTTCACGTTACGAGTGTTTAACAGTTTAATCAAGCGTGGCCTCTCCGCCAGCACACAAAACGGTCGCGACGGTCACGGCAGCTGTAGGGGGAGTGATTACTGCATCGGGAAAGGCGTACTTCACCAAAAACACAACATCGGTCCTTCCGATGCTCTTTTCAAAGAATTTCTCATTTTCAACTTAAGAGAGAAGAGCAGCATTTAATTACTGCATCCCTGGTTGGGGGGAAAAAAGAGGAAAAACAATATAATAACCTGCCTCAGGAGCAAACGTGGACAACACATTCCCGCCCAGAGACAGACACGTGAGGACCTTTCACAAGAGAACTCAGTGAAGCCATCAAAACATTTGCTAACTAAAACTCTGCTGAGTATCACTTGAAATCAGGAACTGAAATTTCAAAATAACGTTTTAACGTCTGAAATGGCATTTATTTTAGGAAACCTTTTCCAGCACACATGCTGATCTTAATGTAAAGAAACAAACATAAATACCAAAAATAACCTGACAAAAGAACCAAGTTTTAAAACAATGAACTGGATTTTAAAAAGCAAAACGTGTATGACGCATCCTCAGAATTCAAAAAAAAATAAAGTAAAATGCACAAGACTTCGCCCTTCACATTTTCTTTCCAAAACAGTTTGTTTCAACTATCACTTGATGCTTTTATGCATTTAAAATTACTGTTTGTATACGGATTGTTAAAAGCATGCGCCAGTCAGGGCGCCTGGCTGGCTCAGTCAGAAGAACATGAGACTTTGGACCTCGGGGTTAGGAACTTGAGCCCCACGCTGGGTGTAGAGATTTAAAAAAAAAAAAAAAAAAACAGGGGCGCCTGGGTGGCGCAGTCGGTTAAGCGTCCGACTTCAGCCAGGTCACGATCTCGCGGTCCGGGAGTTCGAGCCCCGCGTCGGGCTCTGGGTTGATGGCTCAGAGCCTGGAGCCTGTTTCCGATTCTGTGTCTCCCTCTCTCTCTGCCCCTCCCCCGTTCATGCTCTGTCTCTCTCTGTCCCAAAAATAAATAAACGTTGAAAAAAAAAAAAAATTTAAAAAAAAAAAAAAAACCTTACTAAATAAAAAAATGAAGGAAAGCACTCACCAGGGGACTAGAGCTGTGTGAGCAGATTCTATATGCTGCCCTCAAAGGCAGAGGGTTAAGCACTTTCTAGTAGCCTGGCCATGGCTTTGAACTCAGTCTTACAGGGGTGGTTATCACTTCTAGGTGACCTGTCCTCTTGCTGAGAAACGGCACGACATCTCCCAGCTGGGGCCCCGAGGACAGGCGAGCTACCTATGGTCCCCCTGCTGGACAGCCTGCCCACCTGGGTTGACCCCGTATAGGCACTCATCAGAAAGAATCATCCATTTGAGATGAATAAAAATCGTATTTCTACAGTTTCCTTCATTGTTCACGTTAGGCATACGAGTTTGCTGTTTTTCGTATGTAACCTGTTCCCAAATTTCACCCAGAAGCAAAGTTGTGCCTCAACACAGTACTTTTCTGAACCGGTCAGGTTTAAGGTTATAATTAGGTTTTTCCCTCCACAACTAAATTAGTACATTTCTCTGAAAAAAATGCAAGAAAATGGTAGTTACTCTTGACACATAAAATAAATATGTTTCTACTGGCTTCAAACAAACACCGATGTATCAGACCTCAGTTTCTCACTAACTTCCTGTTTTTTTGTGTTTTTTTTGTTTTTAATGTGGAATTTTGTTTTACTGGTGTCTGTCCATCCCATTTACCGAGTATTTGCAGTCAGGGAAGGATCAGGAATCTGTCGTCAAAATTTCCTAACTGTAAATGTTTAATTGGTAAAAACAGGAGGTTCCAACCTGGTTGCTACACATGTTCTGAATGGTTTTGCTTTATACGGCAAACTTCTATTGATCTTATTTAAAAAGTAAATAAAGTAAATGGGGGGGGGGCATGCGGAGAGAAAGTCTACGAAAAACAGCTTTTTACATCATATTTGAATGTGCATATCCTAAAATTCACGTAACTGTGTCAAGATCAGCAGAGGACCAGAAACGACAAGATGGAGTTTGAACAGTCTCACCTTGCATACGGGATGTACGACAGGCTGTACCTGCAAGAAAAATTCAAAGATGCTGAGACGATCCAGACACCTGCCGCTCTTCTTCATGCCGAGGGGCCACACTCCAACACCGTAACAAACAAAGCTGCGCGATACTGTGCAGTAACCCTCAAAGCACAGCCCCAGACCAGTAACGGCAGCTTCAGCCGGGAACTTGGTAAACGGGCAAGTGATTGTTCCCCGCCCCCCGCCCCCCGCCCCCCGCACAAGAAACTCTGTGTTTTCAGGAGCCATCTGTGGGACTCAACCGCCCGCTACAGTCTGGGCCTGTTCCGGCAAGAAGGTCACCCTTTTAAGTCTTTTCGATCAAGAGAGTAAAGCGAGAATAAATGGCATTCCCCTTCAGGGATACATCAACCATCACGTACAGATGATGCCACAAAATGCAACCTCTTACAGAAAAAGGCCAAGGACCGGGATTTACACCTTCCCACGGTTCCCCGAACACGAGTGAAGCCACGCACAGAGAAGCGCCGGTAACACCCGTCGAGGCCGCGACCAGCGGAGGGGAACAGGGCGCAAGGAAAGACTGATCTCGCAGGGGCGACGTCAGAGAGGCTGAAGGCCACGAGCCCAGGCAGGGTGGCCTGACCCCTGCAGGGAGCGCACGAACTCAGCTCTGAAGAAGGAAAACCCTCTGACAGATACTGGATCTGTGACAAACACGGAGGCGTGTGAGGAGGGGCGCAACCAACCCCACCCATCACACACTCACCGCAGCCCAGACCCTAAAGAGGCTTCCCGGAGGAGGGGAGCATGTGGCCGGGAGGGAAGGGCGAGGCCGGATACTCGGAGGGACAGGTCACCACAGGCATCGGGAAGGCCGAGAAGCGGGATTTGCAACCACGGGCAGTTGACTCTGTGGAACCACGTGGGTTTGAACTCATTGGGTCCACTTAAATGTGGATTTTTTTTTTTCCCCCAATAAATACAACTGGGAAATTTTTTGGCTGGAGATCTGCACCATTTTGAAAAAACCTGGCAGATGAAGCCCGCGGCCGAGGAATACCAAAAAGAATTAAGGAATAGGTATAATCGTAAGACCACACTACGGGACACATACAGAAAATGCATATTAATCGACTGTTTCTGTAACTGGCGAAGCTTCAACAGTAGGCTCTTGGTAGTTAAGTTCTGGGGCAAAGGTCATACACAGATTTCCCACGGTGGGGGTTGGTGGGTGGGGGTTGGTGCCCCTCGTGCCGAAGGTCAACTGTATTCACTGACGATTCAGATATCACAGGGCCACGTTCAGCAGAGGGAATTCTCCCTTCTAACTATCGGGCAACACGGAGCAGACAGCCAGTATTCTCCCGGGCTTCTCCCTGACATGGCCTCGCTTGTACACGTCCATCTGGTATTCCCTACATGTGCTGTCGTTTGTTTCTCATACGAGGAAGAAGAAGTAAGGGCATCATTGTGCAACAGCACCCCACCCCCCACCGGTGCGACCCCACCCCTCCCCAGTCGCCACCGAGCGACGTGTGGGTCCCACGGGACACTGCAAATCGCACTCCTCTGACCTCTCAGGAGGTCCGTCCCCTCCAGGGCACATGCTTCGAACCATCACACGAAAGGCTAGACGTTCCCAGGCTCAAAGGCTCCATAAGAAAACGCTTATCGAGACTTAGGGCATTTGAAGTTTCTCACCAGCCTGAGCAAGACTTACCAGGTCATCGACAAGAACTGCAATATGCAGAACAACAAGGCCAGGCCCTTCTTGTGCCACTAACAACAGCAAAAACAGACAAACAGCAAGTTAGGAATCTTTAAAAATATTTTTCCCAAACAGGTTTCAATTCCTCCCCTTCGAAAACGCAGACAGCTTCGTTTACGTTATTAAGTTTTACCGTGACAAATTTGAGACTCGGTAGATCCAAACTTTAAATCTCCATGAAGCATCTTTCCTTTCTAAAGTCTCCGTATCAATTTAGACGCTGGGAAATACAGGGCACCGAGTGAGTGTCCCCGAAGTAACCGCGCGAGGCTGCACGCGCCGGAGCTCTCCCGCCAGCTCTCCAAGTCGACGCCACCTTCACTAAAATCAACCCTGAACACCCCACGGAGCTATCCGATCTCTGTCCTGGGTGGGATGTGCACCCTGTACTCCTTTCCTTTCTCTCTTGCTCCTGGAGTTATTTTTTGAAGAAAAACGGCATTTTACCGTGATCTTCTAGAATAACGTAAAATTAACAGTTTTGGTTTTAAAATGGCCTATTTTTAGAATTCCTTGTTCATTTTTATTTTTGCTTACTTCTTTATTCATTTTAACTTACTGCCTGTAAATAAACAGGCTGTTAGACCAAGGCCAAAACTCAATGTTCCATACAGATATGCAAATACTGTTTAATTAAGAACATTCTTTTAGGGGCGCCCGGGTGGCTCAGTCGGTTAAGCCTCTGACTTCGGCTCAGGTCATGATCTCACGGTTTGTGGGTTCGAGCCCTGAGTCAGGCTCTGGGCTGACAGCTCAGAGCCTGGAGCCTGCTTTGGATTCTGTGTCTTCCTCTCTGCCCCACCCCTGCTCGTGCTCATGCTCTCTCTCTCAAAAATAAACAAACATGAAAAAAACTAAAGAATATTCTTTCAGTCATCATTGAGAAACGAGGTGTAAGAATTGTCACACAATTAAAGCTCAGTCCATTTTGACACAGAATATTTCTAGAACATATATGCTACTGTTTCTTTTTTTTTTTAATGTGTAGTTTTCTCGATAGCTCACGAACCACCTCAAATCCCTAAGTAGATGGGGGGGGGGGGCAAATAAATAAAGGGAATAAAGACTCAGGAGCACTGGAAAGTGTGCTGAACTTCAGGCTAATGAAGAGCTGTTCACCTTAACAGTAACAGGTATATTGAAGTTCTTTTGCCCGCCCGCCCTTTTTTTTTAAGCGATTTTACATCTTCTTAAAAATTAATTAATTAAAGTAACCTCTGCACCCAACGTGGGGCTCAAAGTCGCAACCCCAAGATCAAGTCGCACGCTCTTCCGACCAGGCCGGCCAGGCGCCCCCTTTTGCTAATTTGTTTTGGTTTGTTTTCTTGCCCTTTCTTATTAGTTTTGACATCTTGCGACTCGAAACGCACTCCCTCATCAGCGGCCTCCTCTCTGCCGCAGGGGATAGGATGGCCCGGCTCGCGAGCACCGCAGACGAGAGCAGACAGACCCCAGCAGAAGCCCCTGGGAGCCCAGGAGCCGTCAGGGTCAGGTCAGTGTGCTCCAGAGGCAAGCAGGAGCCCGCCTGTGTTGGATGGTGGGGTTCATCGCGAGTGTAGCCACTAAGCTCATGGATACACAATGTTAGGGACACCCAACCTCTGTGGGCTTCAAGAAGCAGACTTTGAGCTCCTTTGGGACAGCAGGGTGAGCATGACGGTGAGGGGCCAGTTAGCAGAAAGCAGGCGCAGCTGACATACTTACCCAAAGAGCAGCGCACAATGTAAGTATGAAACACAACTATAGGAAAGGAAAGAAAAAATTGCAAATGTGAGTCCTTTCAAAACCTTAAAAAAAATCATAAACTAATCTGCATCATTTGCATGCATAATAAAACTACGGGACAAGATCAGAGCCGCGGCCAAGTCTAGCCGCGTTCCACACTGCGTGCCAAGTTCATCCTCCCCTCGAGTCCGTGACTGCAGTGTTCCCAGGCAAACTGGAAGCTCCTAGTGAACAACCCGTTGATCAAATCAACGGAAAGGATGTTTGAGGAATGGCTTAGTGATATCAGCTGTTCTTTTAATTTGATCTTTGATTTTTCCAATTCTTGTATAATTAACATCTATGTTCTATTAGTTTCAGGTGTACAACGGAGGGACTCAACCCTTCTACACATGACTCCGTGCTCGTCACGACACCCACCCTCTTAATCCCAGACAACAGCCGTTCTTACGAGCACTTGTGTTCGTGTCTGGTAACAGAATATCGCCAACAGACTGCTTAGTACGACCGGGGACGCCCAGTAATTCTACTTTACTTAACTCTACGGAAGGAATCTACTGTAATGATTTCCATGCAGAAGATGACAGCACCACTCCACATCCCTGGGTCCCCCAAGGGGCAGGTGACAGCAACAGTGACAAGCAGGAGGCTGGCGGACAGAGAGCCCTAGGCTTTGACGCTTCGAGTGTTAAATCAGTCATTCGGTCCAGACTCCAGTAATCTTCTCTTGAAAATGAGGACGCTGTCTATCCACATGCTCTGAAGGGCTCCGGCAATGAACAAAGCAGAACTGGTCTGTGACGTGCTTGAGGTGGGGGCTGGCACTGAGGAGACGCCACGTGAGGGGCCGGATGGGCGCACGGCCATCATCAGGCAAAATCTTACGTGAGCAGCAAATGAGACCACACAGAACAGTCAGGTGGACATGCTGACTGGAGTCATCACCGAAGTTGTGTCATACAAATACTTAACGGTCTCTTCTGGGAAACGGTCTACATTTCTAAATGTTTGCACAGCCTTCTCCACTTGATGCCTATACACGACTAAGACGGGTTCCAGGAGACTCTACGCAAAGCCAGTCTCCAAAAAATCCTAGTAAAATATAAACTTCTCACGGTCTAACAGCATGAGATAACTTCCCAGTAACCTAGACAAAGTTGAGTGTTAAAGTATCGCTATACATGCTAACACACGAAATTCTAACTGGAAAAATCGGAAATACGGTCCTACACTATGACGACAGTGAAAAAGGACACGAACGAGAAGTGAGTCTGAAACAGGTGTTCCCTCTGGTAACGAGGCGGGAGGAGACACACATTATGGTTGAGGATGAGCTGCGTCTAGAAGCTTAGCACTGGTTACAAGGACCAACCGGCCGATACGACTGACCTTACACTCCACAACGTGTGTTAAAGAGGCAAGAGGAAGCCGCCAGAGACACAGACGAACACGCTGGGAGCCGGGGGCTCAGTGCACACAGGGACACTCGAGTTCCTCGGCCCGGGGCCCCAAAACGTCAGCCGAGAGCCCAAAATGTGCGACGTGAAAACGGTTACCCGCCCCTCGCCCGGTTCACAGATAAAGAGAACGCCAAGTGTAGGGTGACAACTTGGCAGCCGTGCACAGTCCGGTGACAGGGACCCGGCACACTCACAGGTCCGGCCACAGAAGCCACGCTGTTGGGAGTACAAACGGTGACACGGGAAGGCACCAAAGCCAGGCGACCGGCTACGTCAGTTGAGCCCAGCGTCCCCGAGAGGACTCCAGTGGCCCCGGAGGAGACCTGTACTCCAGCCCCACCTCCCCGAGAGCACACACATCTGGTAAGAGACGCTCTGCGGGGCTTGGAAACAGCGTTCAAGCACCTCCCAGCTCCACTTTGAACCCACGGAGCTCCGACGTCAGGCACGTGCAACAGAAGGCGGGATTTACCAAGTCGGCCAACTTAGGCGATGCTGTACCATCTACCTCCTGCAGACACACAGGCTTAGGGATGTCAGGATGACATACAGGCAGCGAGAGAAACAGAAGAGTCCAGACAGAAGGGCGGGCGACCATCTGCAAAGCAGTAACGCAAGACACGTCCAAACGCTTGAATTGTCAGTGTTTACTTACAAGCATGATGATTGTTGCAAGCAATCTTGTCGTTTCAAACATTTTCTTCAGCTGCTTCATGGGTCCCATTAAAAAGCACGTACTATTTGAAACAAACAGGAGCAGAGATGAATCTATAATTTGTCTGGCCATATAAACAAAAATGCTTTCAAGAAAAGACGTCCCATGCTGGTTTACGAATACAAATTTCTCACTAAATCACTTATATTTTTCTTTAATATTAAAAGGAAACCTTTGTTTTTTTTAAAACTTGTTTATTTAAGTAAGCTCTAGGCCCAACGTGGGGCGTGAACTCATGACTCCGAGATCAAGAGTCACATGCTCTACGGACTGAGCCAGCCAGGGGCCCTAAAAGGAAACTTTAGTTTCCTATGACACACATAAATGCCTTTTTACACATTACTGGCGGTCGGAGGGATCCTGAACTCACAGGTGACCTGCTTCCAATCTGTGCCAACTCAGTCACTACCCTTCCTCATTTCCGCCCGTGACGGGCCAGAGCGATGAACGATGCCCTCCGGACACAGGTCTGTTTAAAGCCCCGGACAGCGGCAACACATACACGTGCTGAGCTGGGCTCTGCTCAGACCAGAGCCTGGAAGGGAAGGCCTGCAGGCACAAGCCCAGGAAAGCGGGCTGAGCTTGGCCTCAGCTCACACAGCTTCACGTGACTACCTCTGATCCAGAAAGTTCCGGAGGAGACAGAAGGTCACCTGGGAAAGCTAACTCCTGCCTCTGACACCTACTTCAACAGACCTCCAAACACCCAAACATGCACCAAAGATCCTCAGACAGGAATTTACGAAAGCCCGATCCGAAATGCCACTGGGCTCGCTGGTGCTCGCCACCATTAAGGCCGGATCTTCGGGCTGGTCGACTGGAGGGCCGGTCCTTTCTCTCGCTAAGACGAGGCTTCACAAGCAGGGAGCGGGGCTCCGGAGGACGGTCTGGTGGGAAGTGCGCCTGGTCACCTCAACTGGGCACACCCTCGGGGTAGGGACTCACCCAGCTCCAAGGATCACACACTGGGGTAACGGAGAGAAACACCCGGCAAGTGCCCCAAATGCTGGCTCCCCCTGCCCGCCCCACTCCGCCGCGCCGCTGGCCCACGGCAGGGAACGATAAACGTTTCCTGCGCGAACATCAACTGTGCAGCTACAGAAGAAGACCCTAGCAGGAAGTGCTCACCGGGAAGGAAGACTGCGTTGGCAACAGCAACCCAAACGACCCGAAGAGCCCGGCTTCTACACGTACCTGGCCAGCGCGGCGATGTTTCCGAGCGTGTAAAACACTGCGAAAAGCTTGACGCCCCCGGGAAGCCACAGTAATCCAGTTCCCTGAGTTAAGACAGATTTTAAAATCATGACACCACCGGGACAGCTTGAAACACAAACGCGCTACGTATGATCGTTACATAATATGCAGTTTAAGCATAAATGCACCAATGCAGACTTTTTGCAGCTTTAAAAAGGCAGTTAACTTTCCTTGTCATCGACTCTGAGCCTTCTGCCTGTTTTGCGGGTCGGTGCGCACAACTGAGCGGTAACACAACCTCCCCTGCGCACGTGAGTCAACCTCACTCTTACGTCAACAGGCCTGGTAAACGGCAAGTTAAACAAAGTAGTTAAGGCATCTCGATTCCTGACCCTACAGCTCTTTACACACATGGGGTTTTCTTAAAAAAAAATGATTTTCGGGGCGCCTGGGGGGCTCAGTCGGTTGAGCGTCCACCTTCAACTCAGGTCATGGTGTCACGGTTTGTGAGTTTGATCCCCGTGTCAGGCTCTGTGCTGACAGCCCCAAGCCTGGAGCCTGTTTGGGATTCTGTGTCTCCCTCGCTCTCTGCCCCTCCCCCGTTCATGCTCTGTCTCTCTCTGTCTCAAAAATAAATCAACATTAAAAAAAAATTTTTTTTTTTAATTATTTTCACAGCCCCTAAACCCCATGAAATGTGAACGCCTCCCCGTCCTGATCTCTTCGCCCCTATCTCAGGCGACATACATCCCGTGGAAACAGACTCACTGCGATCGACTACAGGCTGCTCGCTGCCACTACACGGGGTCATCGGTCTGACAAAAAGTAAAAGCGATCGGGCAACACGAAACTTTAACTCACAAGGATAGAGAAGAGAATGCCGCACACGAAGCAGATCGCAAACCACTTCAACCTGGTGTTGAAACTAAGGGACGAGGCATCCAGGACCTTAAAGAGGAAGGGAGATCAGAACACATTCTTAACCTGCCATGAACCAATCTGATTCTTTATGCTGAATTATGGCCCAGTTTCATTTTAACCCATACGGGGAATCGGTCTTATGCTGCACATGGTCGGGCCTTGGAGAAGAGCCACAGTCCACGGCTGCCAAGGGAGATGTGAACATGACCTGGGACTCACATGGTCCTGAGAAGCCGGGAGCCCTGCCCAGGTGTGAGAGCAGCTGTGACAGCAGCCCTGGGCTCCCGGTTCTCCAGGGCCTTACCTGGGCGGGACGCCAGGCACACATGGACGTGAACCAGTGGACACAGCGTATGATGCGTGTTATAAAATACTCAGTGCTTAAAGAAACAAGACAAGCGGACTGTGGACTGATGATGCGGAGACGGTCCCGGCACGCAGGGATCACCGCCTCCCCGCATCCCCGCCGGAGGTCGCATACGGCAGGCTCCCTGATGCAGAGCCTGAGACAGGGATCTGGAACACGAACTGCTCTCAGGAGAAACCCTGTAGAAAGTCGGGGGGCTGGATGGGGAAGGGGGACCTGATGTGGCGTCGGCTGGAGATCAGCCCCGGCCTGCAGCGTCACCCCGCACCTCAGTGTCACTTCTGCCTCGAGGCAGGGGGCCAGCCTTCCGGAACCCACCTCCCGTCAGCCAGTCCCTGGCTGTGGGCAAAGTGGGGTGACTGCAGGATATCCAGGGTGAGCTGCTGGGAGATGGGTACACCCGCCCCGCGACGGGGACCTGGGCAGCCAGCAGGGGCGATCATTTCCATGCGTTATAAAAGTTCACTTAAAACCAACTCAGGAAAGCCCTCACCCATTATTAAAAACACATTACTGGAAAGATCACTTATGCTAGAGCAAGAGCATTCCTGTATGCTGTGCAAATTCTGACCCAACGGTGAGGGAAGAGGGCGGCAGTGACCCCGCTCCTGACACACTGATTGGGGGGGTTGGGGGGGCGGGGCCAACACACTCTTGCAACTTCTGTCCCAGTGAGGCTGGGGCGGGACAAAAGCGGCTGCCTCAAGAAACTAGAAACAGATCTTGAGAACTCATGTAGCAACATGTCATTTCTGACTTACGTTACCGTTACCGTATATACTCAAAGATGAGACACGCTTAGTATGTATTCTCGAGAATAATGAAGCAAAACCAGAAAATTTTATATGCGAAAGCTCAAAATACCTTTGGCTACATTCCTTACCTCGACAGGTTAGTCTGGGAGTCCTTATGCAGCATGAAAAGTAGATAAAAATAACTAAATAAAGATTGTAAATGTAACACACATCACTTTTTAACACATTTAAGAAATGTTTTTTCAAACATTTGCTTTAATTCCCATTCTCGCTTCCAGCAACGTCCCCTGTTCACAGAATCGCTCCACTGTACGTGCAGGCTAGACCGGCCGTGAAAACATCCGAACCTCATGGGACCAGAAGGGCGCCCGCCAACAGTGTCCCTGCTGCACAGAGCACAACAAAGCCCAGAGGTGGAGCACGACACGGGAGGCGGCCCACGACACGTGCAGGGCAGGGTCCTCCGTGAGCCCGACTTCCGAACGGTCAGGGTGAGGACACCGTGATGCGGGCGCGTGTCGTTTGCACTTCCTCTACAAGTTTAACTCACCCCACTGTTGCTCTCCTGTCGGCTCAGCTATTTGCACAACAGGAGGCGTCTCCCCCTATTACCATTTCCACGGGGTGATCTTAAAACCGAAACCGAAACGAGTTATTTCTATTCGTAAATACGGAATACTCAACCCGCGAGCAAAGACCGGTCTTGAGCTCAGCGTAAAGAGCTGAAGGTGAGCCGACGGCGAACACAGGCAACAGGTGTCCAGCTACTCTCCTGAGTGGGATCGTCACCCCACCTTCCCGGGCGCCCTGCGCCTGACCCAGTCCCCTCCCCTGACTGGCAGGCTCATGCGTCAACGGCCAGCCCTGCCCTCCCCACTCCTGTCACCTACTGCTCTCTGGTCATCCTCTCCCACTCGGGACCCCCGATCACAGGTCCCACCCTGCATCCCGGCAGAGTGTTGGACGCTTTCAGCATCCACCCGGACAGCCCGGCCTCCCTGCGCCTCGCCCCCTAGTCCCCGAGACCTCTGCCCTCCAGTGCACTCAGTGAGCCAGGCCACTCTCACCACCCGGAATCAGCCCACGTCCAAACTTCAAGCGGCAGCTGCCGGCCCCCGACGGTGGCCGCGCTGATTCAACTGCTCGTGTCCCGGCTGCACCGCGGCCTCTGGGTCCCCTTAGCCAGCCCCCCCCCCTCCCCCCGGTCCTCCTCCTCCCTTCTGTTCTGCGGAACTCCCACGCCATGCCGACTCAGGAGGGCCTTTGGAATCCCCCTCCCGCCGCACCCATCTGGCAAAATCCCACCGAGACTCCAGCCTGCCGTCCTCTTCCTCTGGGCGGTCCGACGGCAGGACGGGGGGCTCCCAGCCAGGTGCTCAGGCCATCGGCACCTTCCGGCGGGCCCTGCCTGCCCGGCAGCCTGACGCGACACAGCGATGTCTGTCTGCCTCTGGCTCCGCGGCCAGCTGACTGCTCAAACCTCCAGTCTTGCCCTGACACTTCCAGCGGGCAGCTCCCCGTCTTTCACAGGAAACGGAAACCATCAACGCGCCCTCCCTCCACCGTTTGCCGCCGAACCGCCGCGCCGACCTCGAGAACCTCTCTCCTTTCCCTCGGATCACCACGGAGGTCGGTGCGCCCTGCCCTAGAGCCCAGCCCTCCACCTTCTCTGGGAACCTGCACTGTCAGCTCCGCACCCCCAAGAGCGCCCCGAGTTCTCTCCCTGAGACCATGTCTCTCCACCTGTCCCCGTGACTGGGCCTCTCCCGTCTTGAAGAAAGAGCTCGCCTGATTTCCCTCCGGCCTCTGCTCATCCATTCCGCAAATACCTGCGGAGTGCTCCCGGGTGCCAGCTCCAAGGGCCGCTCAGGGTCTCGCCCTCCCTGCGCCTGCGCCCCGCACCTGCTCCCTGACGTCAGGCTCCCGCGAGCCCTTTGCGTGCTGCTCCCTTGACAGTGAGTGGAGCCCCGGGCAGGGCCGAGTCCCTGGGGGAATGGCCCAGAAGGAAGCCAGCCCTTTCTGGGTTCCAGCCTCCTGCTGCGTCTATCGCAGAAAGTGCTCCAAGGCCGGAAGCGCCCTCTCTCGTGGCCTAGTGCTTTAACCGGCTACTGGGGGCGGGAGACTGGCGGGGTTGGGGGGGGGGGGATGACTTCAAACAAGCAAATGCCCAGCGAACAGAACAGCAGGGGCGGGATGTGCTGCAGGGGAAGTCAGGCAGCTGCCAGGCTGGAGGGTTAGGGAGGGCAGCAGCCAGAGCGGGTGGTCCTGCCGAAGGCCTCGGGGGACGTGCCTCGAACTCTGGCCTCCACCCTCCCCACCCTCAGCAGGATGATGGGGCAGTCCCAGATCTCAGATCCCTCCTCCACTGTCTGGCCACCTCCCCAGTCTGCCCTGAGCCAGTTCCATCAAGTCCTCCGACCCCGGCTCCTATGCGCCCGGCCACACTCAAGGGACACCACCCTAGGTATCACCAGCAGCTCCTGGCATCCTCCCCACCCCCCCCCACCCCAGCCGTGCCCTGACCGGCCCGTTCCCCGCTGTCTGCACTCGCCAAGGGGGGCCCCATCTTCTCAAGAACTCCCCCCCCCTCCGCCGGTCCTGATAACTAGGGGGTTCACTGCCACTCTCCTCCCTTCCTCAGCCCCAGAAACGCCTCCTCCAAGATCCTGCCATCACGCCAGGCCACCCGCTGCTGCTTCTCACTGTTGTCACTACCATCCCCCGGGTCACCCCCATCACTGCCCCATCACAACTCTTGCTCTTGTAAGGACTCTGCACGGGGCTCGCCACCATCCCCCCACTCCTGTCTGAACTCCTGGTGACTTCATCACTGCAGTAAGCCAGCTTCCAAACTCTAAGACTCTTGGTTTCTCGAGCGTCTCTCCTCCGAAGCTCAAATTCTGCACCTTACGTCAACCGAGCCCCTTCTCTCTGGCAATAAATACACCACGTGTGGACAATCTCCGTGACGTCAGTTTCAAGCGTCCTCCTTCCGATCACCAGCCCCTACCCTCCAGCATCCCCCGACCCCCACCCTGGCGGCCCTCCTATAATCACTCGGCCCTCTGTCCCTCTGACGCATTCACTGGGCAAAATGTGAACCCTGGTGAAATCCAACTCCGCCAGCCCTGCCCTGCCCTCCTGCTGCTGAACGTGACTCCCGCTTCAAATTCAGGACCACTGCCCACAGGTGGGGCCCTGTGCTGCGAACAGTCCCAACGCTGCCCCCCTCCACTCGTTTTCCTATTCTCTAACCAACCACTTCGCACCTCCTTGAACTTCATCGCTCACCCCCTCCAAACTTCCACCTGGCAACCTCATTTCCTGTTTCAGTGTGGACAGCTAAGGAGTCGGGGGAGAATCCCCTCCCGCTCTGAAGGCGGCACCTGGAGCTGTGCCACACGCTCTCCCCGCTCTCCTCCCGTCGCCCGCACGCCAGCCTGCGTGAGCTGGCCAAGGCCGGCCCCTTCTCTTGTGCACACGTCCCATCTCCTGGGATTTTCCCAACCACTCCTGGACGGCACCCCAGCAACGATCCCTCTCTTGACTGCATCGTCAGCTTCCCCCTTTTCTGGACTATTCTCAACATCTCTCTCCCCTCTAGACTGTGGGCTCAAGAAAAGGGGCACTATCACCTCCCTGTCCCCAAGGCTTAGAGCGGCTCAGTACAACAGAACTTTCCGCCACGAGATGTCCCACTCACGTACTGTCCTGTACAGCGGCCACTAACACGTGTGCCTCCCGAGCACCTGAAATGTGACCCGTGTGACCAAGAAAGAATTCCAAATTGTATTTAATTTTCACTAATGCAAACGTAAAAAACCACACGCAGCTCTGGGTCCTGTACTATATAGCACAGACGTGAGGCATAAGGTGGGGAACAAAAGAGTGGCTCGATCAATGAGTTGGGTGAGCCATTACTGCCCCAGTGGCATTTCTCACACTACCTACCGCTCGTGGATTCTTGTGTTGCCACTGTGGTTGGCCCAACTGGTCACAGCGTCCCCTGAGAGCCGAGGCTTCTCCGCCAGCCCCTGAGCCCCCACAGACTAGCCCAGAACCCTGGCCACAAGAAGTGCTGAGCGAACACGACAAGGAAGGGAGATGGGAATGGAAAGGGACTAACAAACGACCCTCGGGCAGCACTATGGGGTGGTAAGTGCCCCACTCCCGGGACAGGCCAGTAACGGCTCGTCAGCATGCGCGCCACAGAAACACTTACAAAGCAGTTCCTTCTCCACTGCTATTTTTAACCCTCTCGCTAGAGGAAGTAACCCTCATCAAGCCTCCCGGCTCAGAGCGCAGAAGCAAAGGATGTTTTTGTTTTACGTTTAACCTTGTGGCAGGGGCTGGATGCCCTAACGGACAACTTCTAATTCCGCGTATTTCGCTTTTTCAACGACCTTCCCCGCCCCTCTCCTGCGTCCCTACTCCCAAAAGACACACGCACACACGCACTCCCAGCGCCTCGTCCGCCTCCACGGCGGACGCACGGGACTGTAAGCTCTGGGCTCGCTGCGGCTCGCAGGACAAAGCCGCTGCCCACCTGCTGGCGCTGCCCAGCCGGCTTCAGGGTCCAGGCCGAGCGCAGCAAACCCAGCGGAGCCGGGCTGAGAGCGGCTGGCTGATCCGGGGGCGCGAAGACGGGCAGCAGAGGGGCTCCCGAGGGTCACAAGGCCAAAAGCGGGGCGTGGGGTGGGTCTCAAAGCGAGCCTCTGCAGACGCCACGAAAACCGGGGAGGCTCCCCAGAGTCTCCCCGGGAGGCGGCGGAGTCGTCCCTCCGCAACGCGGCCCGCACAGGACCTCCCCCCCGCCCAGCCCGCTACCTGCGCCGTGAGGCCCTGCTCCTCGTCGTCCTGGCCGCTCAGGACCCGCCGCAGCTTCTCCATGGCCCTGCTCCGCCGCCGCCCTGGCGGCTCCCGCTTGCCGGCCCCCGGTGCCCTGACGGAACCCGGAACCAGGAAGCCGGAACCCGAGACCCCACGGGACCGGAAGTCCGGGCCGCCCGCTTCCGGCGCGCCCGCGCGGCCCCCCGCCGCTATCTAGCAGCGCGCACATGCGCGCCGGCGCCCGTCTGGCCGGGGTCGGGGTCCGCGCCTGCGAGCGGCGGGCGTGGATGTCGCGGCCGTCGCTTCCCTCCCCTCCCCTTCCCTTCCCGCCGGCCAGCCTGGCGGTGGCGGTGACCACCCCCCTCGGACCGCGGCGGGCGCCGCCTCCCTTCGCCTGGCGTCGGGTCGCGGCGGACGCACAGCCGTTGCTGTAGGACGAATAGACCCGCGAACGCGGGTCCTCGCGCGTGGCGCTCCGCACCGCAGACCCACGGCGGGTGCCCCAGACCGGAGCCCCGGCACTGCAGCCCCGACACCCGGTACTGCGGCCCCCACGTCCAGTCTTGGAGCCCCAGATCTAGTACTGCCAGACTGTCCCCCAGCGCTACAGCCCCAGCGTCCGGTACTGCAGCCCCAGGGTCTAGCGCTGCTGCCCCGACACCCAGTACTATTAAGTCCTGCGTCCGGCACTGCACACCAACCTCAAGTGCAGCGGCCCCAACATCCGGTGCAACAAACGTGATGTTCAGGCCTGACCCCAGTAGACTGCTGAGGGCCGTTTCGGGAATACTGGCGGGGGTTCAGTTGTAAAGTGGACATCTCCTTACTAAGAGTGAAGTGCTCCAAACATCTGCACTTGGGGCGAGTCAAGGAGGGAGGGAGGGCCGGCTTTGGGGCACCCGGTTCTGTGTTCTGACCGCCAGGTGTCGCTGGGGCTCAGCTCTCTCCCAGCCCCATCTCCTCAAGACGGAGCACCTACTTTTCAAGGTTAAATGAGAATAGATGTACTTCAGATCATCTCAGTTGAAATAACAGGAGGCTGCCTTCTTCCTTTTTATGTGTGAGAGGTGCTCATGTACTCAGTTTATCTTCCAACCAGGAATTTGAAAGAGCGAGACCCTACTCAGGAGAGGAAGAGATACTCCAACCCATCTGTCCGGTTTTGCATAAACACTGTGAACCTCTGAACAACTGTTTACTGTTCTCTGGTTGGTCCTGGGTGAATGAACGCCAGCAAAGGAGGAAGTGGCTTTTTTTTTTTCTTGTTATCCACCATGGATATTTTAAAGAGAGATTAAAAATTAGGGCTGCCCGTACAACATGAATTTCAGGGTATCTTGGGGTTTTCCACAAATGTACTACCCTAAGGTCACCAAGGGATAGCTTTTGCTTTTCACTTTGCCAAGACCATAATGGAAGCATCTGTTATTTTGTTTTGTTACATCACCCAGATTCCTCAGAGCTGACAGTTAAAAGGTGGACGGACCCCTGGAGACTTTTATTACCCATGCTACTGTCTTCAGTAGAGATGTTGTCTAATCCCAATTAGATAAATACAGGTATTATTAGACCCCTAAAAAAGCAGATCTGGGGCGCCTGGGTGGCTCAGTCGGTTAAGCGTCCGACTTCGGCTCAGGTCATGATCTCGCGGTCTGTGAGTTCAAGCCCCGCGTTGGGCTCTGTGCTGACCGCTCAGAGCCTGGAGCCTGTTTCAGATTCTGTGTCTCCTTCTCTCTCTGACCCTCCCCCGTTCATGCTGTCTCTCCCTGTCTCAAAAATAAATAAACATTAAAAAAAAATAAAAAAAAAAAAGAAAGAAAAAGCAGATCAGATACTGCTCTGAGAAAACGGTCCAATGCTCAGTATTTGGGGGGGCAGGAAATACTTCTCTTTGGCCTATTTCTACTAAAGTGTGAGATCTTATCTTTTTGTCCTTAATTTTACAAGATCGGAAAATAGATGATAAATGTCTGCTGTAAGGTAACAAATCTGTACACTTCTAGTCAATAAAAAGGTATGTCTGTACATTGTTCAGAAACTTCGATTTGAAGCGTAGTGACTTTAGTTTTCCATATGCCAAAAGAGGAAATAAACCAATATCTCCGGTGATGGAGAGAAAGTTTTCCAAGGAGATACGGGGTTGAACCATGTAAAACTGGGAAAGCCCAACTACTTTTGACCTAAAAAGGGCAACTTCCTGTGTTTCGACCTGTACCTGGGCGTGAGAAATTTCACTCGGAAAATAACACTGGAGGTTTAAGAGTGTGGTTTGGGATCTTTGACTTCTCGTGCCTTATGAGCCAAGCTTAGTTTCCTGAAATATTCTGCACAAAGTTCATTGAAAGTACAAACCCTAAAAGAAGTCCTCCAACGCTGAGTCTAGGCTCTGAAGCCAGCCTGCCTGTGTTGGAGTCCCAGCTCCCCCATTTTGTTACTTTCCGGATTTTGAACCAGCAACTCAAGCCTTTCGCTTTCGCTTTCTCAGGTGTGAAAATCAAGGCGATAAGACAACAGCTCCTCCCTTGCAGGGTTGTCACCAGGATTAAAGAAAACACCGCAGCCCTAGATCCTCATTCTTCATGGGTTCTATACTTGCAAATTCGCCTACTTGCCCAAGTTCCTTTGTAGCCCCAGAATCAATGCCTGCACACGTTTTCGTGGTCGCTGAAGGACGTGCGCAGAACAGTGAAAAAGCAGTCACCTGGGGTGCGTGGGCCCAGCTAAGAGGGAGCGAGGTGACGCCCTCCCTGCCTTCTTTCGGCTCCCACCGTACACGAGTGCCATTTTTTGTGATGTAACAAAACCACACAAACCTGCCGTGTTTCTCACTGTTCTGAATGGCCCCAAGCCTAGCGCTAAGGGCCATCTAGTGTCCGCACAAGAAGGCCTCGTCTCCCAGGCTGCTTTCCCAGAGCCGTGCCCCCAAGGGGCCCCGTGCACAAACCACCACCCCTGTTCCCACTGACTTTGGTGACGTTGGCTTGGTTCCCAGAGGGCTTCTTAGGGCAGGAGCATCAGAAAGGGTGTGGGGACCCTTCCCCAGTGGCAGCATGCCAAGCATGTTGAAAGAAGATACTTTAGAACCTTTCAAATGTCCCACTCCCATCTCTTAAGACTGCATAAAGCACTTGGCAGAAAGTATTGAATGTGTCCGACGCTCTTAAGTGTCCAGGCAGGAAATGACCCTTGAAATTGAAATTCTAAGCCCTGAGCAGTGAGAAGCAGCTTAAGAAAGAGCGCAGAACCCACAAGTCCGGGAAAGATCTCCTAATGTCTAATCACGGGTCTTTTATTTATTTATTTTTTTTTTATTAAAAAACATTTTTTTTTAACGTTTATTTATTTATTTTTGAGACAGAGAGAGAGCATGAACGGGGGAGGGGCAGAGAGAGAGGGAGACACAGAATCAGAAACAGGGTCCAGGCTCTGAGCCATCAGCCCAGAGCCCGACACGGGGCTCGAACTCACAGACCACGAGAGCGTGACCTGAGCTGAGGTTGGACGCTTAACCGACTGAGCCACCCAGGTGCCCCTCACAGGTCTTTTAAAACTCTCTCTCTTGAGCTGATTTCAACCACTTCTCTAGACATGGTAGCAACTCCGGACACAACTAGTAACATCGAATCTTCCTTAAGGACTGAGGCCCCGGAGTGCTTTGTGCAGAGAGAAAAGCAAGTCTGTTGCTATAGTCATCTGAGCGCTCATGGCAGAAGGGACTGGGGTCAGAGGAGAGTGCTGGGGGCCAGGGGAGGCCTGGGCAGAGGGGAGAGCGGGGGGGGGGGGGGGGGGCAGGGTGCTCGGACCAGAGGAAAGACTCCAGTCCAAAGACTCCAGTCATTGCTTACGAGGAACATGTCTGAGACGAGAACAGAGGAGACACGCCTTGGGAAAAACAGCCTACGTTCTAATAACGCTCTCTGGTTGTCAGCACAGACCTCGATTCTCCCCGTGGCGTTTCCCAGCTCCGTTCCTGACAGCCCCTAGAAAGCTAGCTGCCCGGCCACCACTGCCAGGGCGGTGACACAAGGCAGGTGCGTGGGGCACAGAGGGGTAGCCCCACCCCCACGCCTCCACCCGGTCAGCAGGGTCAGTGGGGCGATTCAGAGACATACCTGCCCCAAGGGGAGACAGACATGGGGGCCAATAAGCCCCACGGTTTGAGAAGGTGATCCCAGAGCGGCCGGTGTCACCCCTGGCGGGTACGTCCAGTCCCTCCCCACCTGTAGCCCCTCTCCATGCCCTGGCTGGCGAGGGCCTTCTCTTTCTTCAGTGCAGAGGTCCTTTTAAATCCGTGCCTCTCACTCCTCTGCTTAAAAACCTTCAACAACTTTCTTGTGTTTTTAGAATAAAGGCCACAGTGATAATCATAAAAGACATAATAAGTTAGGGGCACCTGGGTGGTGGCTCAGTGGGTTAAGCGTCTGACTCCTGGTTTCGGCTCAGGTCAGGATCTTGGGATCCACGAGTTCGAGCCCTGCGTCGGGCTCTGCGCTCCAGGAAGGGCGAAGGGCTGGAGGCGGGAAGGCACTCAGCACATTTGAAACAGAAGTTGTGTTAAGTTTGTTCAGCTGGTATGTGCAGCACAAGGGGGAGAAGGGGGTCAGGAGGTCGGAAGGTGACTGCACCGTTACCTTTGAACGGGCTCTGGCAACAGCAGCTCACGCCGCGGAAATTTATATCACGCAGCTCTGCAGGCTGGACATCCAAGCCGGTCCCCTCCTCCCTGTGTCCCCAGGAGGCGGGGAGAGAGGAAGCTCTGGTCTCTCCCTCCTTCTATGAAGGCATCAGTTCCATCAGGAGGGGGCGCCACTCTCACGACCTAATCTAACCCTCATCTCCCCAGATACCATCGCACTGGGGATTAGGGCCTCAGCATACAAAGCTTGGAGGGACATCAACATTCAGTCCATAGCAAGCATGTTAAGGATCTGGGATTGTGACTTCCAAAGGATGGGGAGCCATTGAACTTGTCACGGCAAATGCGAAGGTGACACGTCAGAATGGCTATTTGTTTATTTTTAAGCAGCCTCCACACCCAGCCCGGCGCCCACCTTGGGGTTCCATCCCGCAACCCTGAGATCAAGACCTGAGCCGAGATCAAGAGTCAGATGCTTAAGCCACTGAGCTACCCAGGCGCCCCCAGATTTGCATTTTATTTATTTATTTATTTTTTTTTTTTAATTTTTTTTTTTAACTTTTTTATTTATTTTTGGGACACAGAGAGACAGAGCATGAATGGGGGAGGGGCAGAGAGAAAGGGAGACACAGAATCGGAAACAGGCTCCAGGCTCCGCGCCATCAGCCCAGAGCCCGACGCAGGGCTCGAACTCAAGGACCGTGAGATCGTGACCTGGCTGAAGTCGGACGCTCAACCGACTGCGCCACCCAGGCGCCCCCCCAGATTTGCATTTTAGAAAGCTCGCCCACTCATGCTTGATAAGTGGGTCTCAGAGGGCAGGTGTGGACGTGCGGAGATCTCTTCGGGTTTTTACGGTGGGCCCGAGGAGGGTCACGGTGCCTTAGACTACGATGGCATGGAGATGGGCAGAGCGACCAGTCACCAGACTAAAGGTGGGATCCACGGGCCTCGACTGAGTGCAGAGAGGGTGGCAGAGGAGGGGCGTGGGGGCGGGGGGACGTCTGCACCGAGGAGAGGAGCAGGGAGCAGAGGGCAGGGAAGAGGCCCATGGGTGGCCCTTTGTCTACGATGAGCGAGTGGGCGGGACACCAGCCACCGAGAGGCGCCTCTGTAATTCCGTAGCTCTCCCTGCAGAGCTAATGCGTATTCGAATGGCCCAAATAAACCAGACATTTCCTCTACTGTGGGCGCTCGGGGAGCGTCACTCCATTACTGAGCAGGAGACCCAGAATCTTTGCTGACGTCCAGCGACGCCAGATTTGCCGTGACACCCCTGTTCTCTGTCATTTGCTGAGCCACGTAAATCACCGAACGGTGAGTGACTGAAATGTTTTCCCCAAGGATCTGCTCTTTGTTGAAAATGTCCTGCTCTGTGGGGCGGCTGGCTGGCTCAGTCGGAAGAGCCTATGACTCTGGATTTGGGGGTCATGAGTTCGAGCCCCACGTCAGGCTCTGTGCTGACAGCTCAGAGCCTGGAGCCTGCTTCCGATTCTGTGTCTCCCTTTCTCTCTGCCCCTCGCCCCGTTCATGCTCTGTCTCTCTCTGTCTCAAAAGTAAATAAACATTAAAAAAATTTTTTTAAATAAATTAAAAATAAAAATATAAAGACACAGGATGACTTTTTAATGCCTAGCAGGCACTATATCTTTCCAAGAAGTTTTTACACCTCGATCCCTGATAAGAGAAAATGCCTTCCCTAAATCCCATCTCTCGGGAGAGGGAACCTCGTACCCTAAGAACAGAACTCTGTTCCTTGCTTTCTCTCTCTGACAACAGCTGGTGTTGTGAGACAGAAAATCCCTGTTGTGGTCCCGGCCAAGCGTAGCTGCTGGCCACTTACTAATGTTCTTTTGAGGCCGTCGCGAAACTCATTTGTGGTCCATGAAAACAGGGGTCCGGGACTCACGCTTGGAATGAATGAGCCACCTATAAACAAGTGTTGGATGTTGGTTGCTTCAGACCAAAAATATACTTAGCATTTCGTTCGTTTATTTCTCCTGGTCCATTTGCTAATATCCCTATTAGTTCTCGGAAATGCGACTTTAATACTGCACCTACGAGTCACACGTGTTTCCCTGGTAACTGCGCTGGAGCTGACCAGGATGCAATCTGTAGAGGAAAAGCGCGGGTCGGCAAGGCCAAGTCTCGGCCTCGTCACGAATGACACCGTCTTGCCTTCAAGGGGCTAGTGGATTAACACGCGTTTGCCGTGTACTCGGTACTCCGGGGAAGAAAAAGGTACCACCTCGTCCTCAAAGAATTTACAAGTTAAATTTCGAAATAAGATCTCACGGGGACGGACAGAAGCGACCTGGCGTGCACTGGGTTCTCACGTCGCCCGTTAGACCCTTGCTACTGAGACTGTGGCCCCGATGGCCCCCCGGTTGGCACCTGGAAGCTTGTGCGAAATGCAGTCTCCGGAGCCTGCCGGCCTTACGCGTGACAGCCTCCTGCTCACAGGACCCCCAGGTGGGAAATCCTCACGGGGAAAGTGGGACAGGCGCTGGACCCCCCTGGTGTCTCCACGGATGCTCCCAGAAAGGGAGATGCCAGGGCTATCTTATTCAGGAAGGGGATTCTCGTACGAACAGATCTTAGTTCAAAATCGGTCTCATCTCCTGCTTTCTCCGTCTCTCTGGCTCCTCTGCTCTAACCCGTGTCCCGTGCCAGTGCCCAAGTGACCCGTGGAAGGCAGGTGATGGCCCCTCGGCCTTCACGCCCGCCTGGGACGCCCTTACAAACGGGCCAGGTCCTTCCAGCCTGCCCCAGTTGGGTTCCACAGGACACAGGCAAGCAGGACGCAGGACCGGCACCCGGGGGAAGGTGGCGGGGCCGAGGTGGGCAGAGGGACACTGGACTACAAATAGCCACCCCGAAGTCTTCCGGCCTACAGAGGCCGCCTACCTGGAGGGGGAGGTCCAGGCCCTCATTTCTGCATCCGCCCATGATGCTCTGGGAGCAGCCTCTGGCAGGTTCTAGAGAGAAGCTCGACCGGCTTCAGGTGGCTCATCCAAGGTTACAGGTGAGAGGGGACAGCCTAGTGACCCAGGACAGAGGACAGGGAGCACCGCGGCGCTGCCCGCTGTGAGGTCAGTGTGGGAGCTAAGACGAGGTCGGCAACTGCCCCGACTCGGGCTGGGGCCTTGGGCTGGGGCCGGGGAGATGCGCGTGGCCAGAAAGCTTGATCAACCGCCTGGGGGACTTGCAAGGGGCATGTGGGGCTTCTGTGGCAAGTGCTGGGGACAAAAAGCGTGGACGGACGTATACCAGCAGCCTGCACGTTCTTGAAGCTGAGGCTGGAGGCCAGGAAGTTACTTCAGGGACAGCTTAGCAACCGCTTGTTACAATGTTGGGGGCCGTCCGTCTTTGAATCCGACTGTCCTTAAACATGAGCGGTCCAGTCCATTATCCTGTTTTCTTCTCGGTAAATTGGGGATCGTAATAGAACTGACATCCCGGGAATGTTGCAAGGATTAAACGGGACAAGTGGGGATCTCAGAACGACGCCTGCCTCGTGTCACGTGGTCCAGCAGCGAATGATGCTTTCGATAAACCCGTCGTTGGATAAACCCCCACCTGTGTGCCAGCGTGGTCACTCACTTCTGTGATCGTGTGTGGATTGTTTTGTTCTGTTTGCTTAAAAAGAAAAATTTTTTAATGTTTATTTATTTTTGAGAGAGAGCACGAGCGGAGGAGGGGCAGAGAGAGAGAGAGAGAGAGAATTGGAAGCAGGCTCCATCCAGGCTCCGAGCTCTCAGCACAGAGCCCCGCGCGGGGCTCGAACCCACAAACTAGGAGATCGTGACCCGAGCCGAAGTGGGACGCTCAACCGACTGAGCCACCCAGGCGCCCACTTTGCAGTGTTTTTGCTGGTTGGGAGGCGGGCAAATGACTCCAGAACCCGTGTCGGTGGGCCTGGGTGGGAGGCGGAGAGGACCGGTTCTCAGGAGTCATCCCCGGTGGGAACAGCCTCCGAGCTGCCCAGCTGCCTTTCCCATTCATACAGCTAAGGAGGCGGAAGCGAGGTACGGGGTCGACTCTTGCTGTTTGCATCAGGGTCACTTAATCGCTCTTGCGACGGGGTTGGGAGCAACAAAGTTGCAGGTGGTACAATCTCAGCACCTTCCCTCGGTCTTTGCTCCCCCTCCCCCACCCCTGCACTTGGCCCGGACCCTGCACCTGACATGTCTGCGAGCTCTCTGCCCTCCATTCTCATAGATGCGTTAGTAGAAAAGACAGATACTCCAATAGGAGGGCGTACGTGTTTGGAAAGGTGTCTGTATACTTTTTACAACAACGAGTAGCTGGACGTGATCGATGGATCACGCGTGACCTCGGCTTTCCAGTCTTGTGAGGCCACAAGATGGCGTCACGTAGCCACAAAATGGTCTCCGACCTGGGGAAAGGGCAAATCTGTCCCTTGTCTGCGCTGTTCAACTGCCGCCGGCTCGTTGGAAGCCCAGGGAGGTCCCTTCCCGCACGGGCCAGTGTCCCTGAGAGGCCTCAACTGACAGAGGGGGACAGTGGAGTTATCCCTGCAGACAGGTGGATGGCGTAGGAGATTTTATCCTTCCTTCCTCCCTCCATTCCCTTCTCCTCTCCCTTCCCCTCTCCCTTCCTCCCCCCTTCCTTCTTCCCTTCCTCCTTCCTTCCATCCTTTCTCTCTTTCTCCCTCTCCTTCTTTCTCACCCCTCCCCTCCTCTCCTTCCTTTCCTCCCACGTTTCTCTCTTTCCCTCTCTCTCTCATATTCAGAAGCCTCCACCTCCTTTATTACTCTTCTCTGTGGCCGGAGGAAGAGCAGAACCCCCCCCCCCCCCCCCCGGGGAACAATTCTGTGTCAAAGGCTTTGTGGAAGGACGTCTCCATCCTGGCTGTGCTGCTTTGACAGATGACAGTTCTTTTCCCTGACTAGTTGGTGTCCTCTGAGTTCTGGTTAGGGATGCCTGCTGGATGACGGGTGCTTGGGATGTGGGGAAGAAAGGCAGAAGGACATGGCAGGTAAAATTACCTTTCCTAATAACCCACAGCCCATTGGCAAATACCTGAGGCAGGCAGAGAGTAACATTTCTCCAGGAACTCCCTGCAGTCTTAACGTTAATGCTTGGCCAACCTTAGCTTGACAATAGCTAGGCCTCCACAGCCTGCGAGTCTTCCTTAGCCTATGAAAGTCTCACTGGAAACTTCCCCTGGACTTTACCTCCCCCAGCCCCACGGCACAGCCCCATAGCATAGCATAGTCTCTCCTCATGATCCTGGGCCGGCTCTTCCTGCCCACGGGTCCTGTCCCCATGCTCTAATAAAATCACCTTTCTGCACCGAAGACGTCTCAAGAATTCCTTCTTGGCCACCAGCTCTGGCCCCCACCACGGCAAACCCCCAGCACGTGCACTGCGCTCTCGGACCTGGGCTGAGACCAGCATCCCAGCTAGCGCGGTGGCCGTGGCAGTCACCACGGCAGAACTTGTCGATTTGGCGAATGGTCCACGATAAAAAACTGGGAACTGCCATTCAGGGCATTGCTTAGGGGTTAGCCGGTAGCTTCTGGAAGAGCTGGGTTCCAACCCTGAAGCCGTGCTGTGTGAGTGATCTGACATGCTGGTTCCCCTTCTGTATCCGCTGTCCTTATGTGGAAGGGGGGACATAAGACCTGCAAAGGGCCTAGGGCACCTGAAGCGCGTCGCATACGATCGTTACCGCAAGGCCATCTTGCTAGGAGTAGCTCCCCTTTGTCCTGCAGGATGGCTCCTTTCGGAATAGTTTTGGCCTCCCCCAAATGTCGCAAACGTAAGTAGAGTTTGCTTCTGCCTTTCCCCTCATTGCCTAACGTGACCTTCTGGACCAGGAACGAACGCTGATGCAGTACCGCCCGCTAATCTGCAGGTGGCGCTCGACCTCTGCGGCTGTCCCGCCCGCGCGCAGGTGCGGGCCTGGCCTCCACCTTCCGTTGGGCCCGGGGTCTCCAGCCTGGGGCGGCTTTTCAGTCCTGATGTTTCACACCCTTAACGCTTTTGCAGATTAGTGGCCCGTGATTTTGTACCTGCCCCTTGTTTGGGGGACGATCTGGGATTTCCCCATGATTCGGCTGACGTCGGGCCTTTGGCAAGAGTGGCGCCTGCGGGCTCCTCGGCGCGTCCCGCCCGCAAGCGGGGTGTGCAGAAATCTCGTTACAGATACGGCTGACTTGGATCCCTTGGGTCGGGGGCCATCCGCCAGAGTCCTTCACTGGAGCCTTGCTGTTTTCCACTCTGCGACCGATGGCACCTGTGAGGAGATTTACCGACGGTGTGACTATCATTTCGCCTTGAACTTACCA